TCCCTTCTTTTACATCTCGTCGGAAATGCCTTATGTTTGAGTAAGACAGAAAAGAGTAAGAAGACACGGTTAGAAAAAATGAGAAAAGATGAGAGAAAATGAGAGAAATTGAGAAAAAAATTAGGAAGAGAATTTAGGCAGAAAGAGCAAGATGTCTGAGGTATCCGTGGCACAACCATCTGCTCTAAGGGGATCTGGGGACGGGAACCAGGCAAGACCACTGGGGGGCACCAGCAAGTCCGTTCTTTTTTTGTCCCTTTGATTCCCACCTTCTACAGTTTCCTGTGACGGACCTCTAGAGCCTGACTTCCATTGCCAAGGGATGGGGGGGAAAGGGATCCGGGAAGAACTCTGGGCCCTGCATGGGGATGCTGGGGTCCATTGATGTCCAGTCTTTGAAGGTGAGACAGTAGTCTCGTGGGACAGAAGCCCGCTGGTCCTCTTCTTCTGCCTGCCCATCACAGTCGTTGTCGCCCGACCAATGCACGCTAGTCACCCATCCTTCTCTTGGACCGCCCAGCCATTCATTGGCAAATTTGGAGATCTTCTCTGATATGTCTTTGGGCCTCTGGTATGTGTCCAAGACTTGTTTTGTTTCCTGCCATCTCTGCATAATCTCAAGTTGAAAACAGTTTTTAAATTGTTCCTTCCTTTCCTCCCCTTCGACTCTGACACCCTCCATTGTCATCGCGCAGCGCTGCCACCATAGAACCCAGAGTACCGACCTTCTTGCCAGAGCAAACATGTTCCTTGCATAGGTTGAGTCCTGCAGGCCTGGGTAGTGGCCCAGAAGAATCGCTCTCTAGTCCCATGGCCATGGTTGGTCTGGAATCATCTGTCTCCACACCCTCTCCCACCACCTCCATGTTAGGACTGCCGACGGACATTGCAGGAAAACATGTTCGATTGTTTCAATTCTTCGTTGGGACGGGAAGCTTTGGAGGCAGTGAGAACACCATGGATGAGCCCGTCCTTGTTGTTCCAACTGAGTATGGTCAATTATCCAGTTGTTCGTTGGGAGACAGCGGTGGGCAATCTGCCACTGAAGGGATGTAATTTTGACCGGTTTGCACTTGATGTTCTGAAACCATTTTATAGGGGACATCAACTGCCTGTCTACGTTGAGGTGCCGCTGCCACCTGTCTATTACTACATCCCGCACGTTCCTTTTCACACGTAACATCTTGTATGTGGCTTTTACTGATAGGTTGTCAACAGTTCTGATAA